TCATTTTTTTTTTTTTTTTTTTTTTTAACAGTACCAGTATACAAACTCAATTCTGTATCACCTCGAAGTCAACGGCTTTCAAACTCTCCTGGGTGTTTTTGTGTGCAGGCTCTGGTTTCAAATTACAAAACCAAAAGTTTCTATTTACAACGTGTTTTGCAGCGTTGATTATTGTAGCCAGTCAACGTGTTTTGCAGCGTTGATTATTGTAGCCAGTCAACGTGTTTTGCAGCGTTGATTATTGTAGCCAGTCGCAGTCAGAGGTGTTTACTGTAGGTTTGTCAGAATCCGCTCTGATCTAATCTACACGATGTTAATAAGATATTAATTGTGTAGATGGTTATTGATTATATCTGGAGTTTTCGCACGAGTAAGCTCGCTATAAGGGAAGCGCCCTTTGCTTGGTTTCTCTACATACTTCATTCACAGTTTGAAGAAAAGTTTTGTTTGTCTAAGAGGACCCAATCGTCCACGTATACTGTTTCAGGAATGACAAATGCAAGTGTAAAAAATTACGCGGGTGAATCCGCCAAATTGTTCAGCGATTGACGGTGATAACTGTAGCAATGGACAGAACGAACTATCTGACAAGCCGATGTCAAAATAGAGCTGTGCTTTAAGTGATGCAGAGTAAATTCAGAGTAACAAACGATAGCAGCAACAAGTCTGTGTTGGTTTTAGCAGCTTCTACAGGTAAAGATAACTTAAAGCACTCTTTTTTGATGTGTCCTTTTTTAGGCAATGTTTAAAAAATATATTTTTTAAATTAAATCTAAAAAAATTTCAAAATATTTAATGCATTATTTAATTATTATACCATTAACAATTAACTTAATTTGTAGTTAACTAGTTAAGTATTTAAATAAATACGCCCAGACACCAACAGCCTAGTAGGGTTAATTATTTATTTTTAAATTACATGAGACTTTGTGACTTCCTGCACTTGCTATAATTCATAGTCATTTTATAATAAATCCAAAAGCAAGACATGAAAAAAAAACTAGGGAGTGGAAATGGCAACTGAGCTAATGAGTGATCCTCTGCTGCCATCTACTGGATATAATGGTAATTTCATGCCATTTAAATTTTTCCTTTCTCTTTGAAGTGTTACAAGCTCTTGGTGCATAAAGAAGATCTGTAAAGTTGCAAAGACTAAAGTCTCAAATCCAAAGAGATATTCTTTATAAAAGTTAAGAGTCAACCACGCCTACCTAAAACGGCTCGTTCTAACACGCCCCCACATGTCTACGATATCCGCTTCGTCATGCCTAGAGCTGATCCGTGCTGGTCGCTGAGGAAATACATCAACTTCGCGCTGTGGATTGCCGGATCGGCTTTCACCGTGGATGAAGCGGAATCCAGCCTGGGGTCTACACATGTGGTTGCCGCAAGCCCACCGGACGCTCCTTCATCAAATCCGCCAGCCGCCACTCACTCAAGGCCGCTATTCGGCCAATCACAACGCACTGGATAGCTGGCCAATCAGAGCACACCTCGCTTTTCAGACCAATGAGCTTTGTAAAAAATCAGACTGGGCCATCTGACCAATCAGAGCAGAGTAGGCTCACGGAAAGGAGGGTTTTAGAGAGACTGAATCTTAGAACTGCTTTGAACAAATCGTTTGAGAATCGCTGGAAAATGAGGTGATATTAAATGCATATTTTGAGAAAACGAAAGCATTTTTTTACCTTGCATGTATGTAATCCTATTGTAGGAGACTCCCAAAACAATATTAGGAACCTTAAAAATGGCATAATAGGGGAACTTTAAGTCTTTGTTTTGAAATGAATGAAAGTGAAAATTTAAAGTGAATGTTAGCGGAGTTAAAAAAAATTTGTTAAAAAACAAAGGCTTTAAAATATTATGCATTCTTAAATGTAGGGTTTTATTTTGGGGGGGTTGTGAGGGGTGTGTGTCTTTGTCACCTTTTTCACCCATGATGAGTTTGCATCCCTGAATATTACACTGATATATTTTCATAGACACTCAATCTCTACCTGAGGAGCTGGTGGTCTCATCCTTTTTATCATCATCATCTTTATAATTACAGTCATTTCCATTTGGCCCTTCCTCTCGGTCGCTATCCGTGTCTTTAGTCTCAGTGTTAACTGTTGGGGTGCTGGGTCTGCTGTTGCCGTTGCTGTTCGGGAGTCTTCCTCTGCGTCTGCCTGCTGTGCGCTTAGAAGGGGTCTTGGCATGCTCAGCAACCACACCTGCTGGGTATTCCCTGACAATGCCATCCTAAAGAGATATGTATGCCAGGGTTAATCATACCGTGAAAGTCAGAATTAAGCAGCACTTGAAAAGATTAGCAATTATGTGTAAAACCTGTGTGCAAACACTTTCAGACAGAAATCATGACTGCACTTGCAGTTTTGTGCCAACTCAAACCACACAAATATATCAAGCCTTCAGGGTTAACAGTATCTTTCATTTTGAAAGGAGTGGAGAAATGCACTTGCCTGAACCATATACATGTAGCAATAAATGCCACATGGTTTGCCGTCCACCAGATTCTCCATGTTCTTACGCTTGTATGTGTTTGGAGTTGCATGAAAAGCTGTAAATCAAAAGAGGAATGCATTTATAGAAATGCAATCTTAAATAGTTGATTTTTATTGTTAGATGACAGCATTTTGTCAAATCATTGCTTACGGTGAAGGAAACAGTCGTATTTGAAGCAACGCCTGCAGAAGAGTGTATGGAAGGAGTGCAGACTCTGCTCTCTTTGCACTGATTTAGCATTTGGACCATCAATGTTGGGGGTGCATTCAGGAGGAAGAGCCCCTGGGAGCTGCTGCTCAGTGAGTTCTTTATATCTGCAAAAAGACAATATATCTCAAAACATGATCACCACCCATAAAATTTCAATGCAAATACAAGCTTCACATTATTTTCCATTTAAGTTTATCATAACCATTGGAAGTTCTTATTCAGAGGAGTTGTTTTCTAACATACTTTTCTTTGAGTTCTTCAGTTGAACCTTTATCAGGAAACATGGAAGAAATGGATTCAAAGATTTTATCAGAGGGAAACTTTTTTGATCTGTCATTGTTGAGACCTGTTGCATACAATAAGAAAACACAGAGTTTGTTATTGAAAAATTAACTGTATAATAAAAAAATAAATTGTAACATGCACCATGTAATAAAATGCCTGTTTATTGTCAGCACTAAAGGGCGTGTGATTTGTTTGAAAACAATACCATGCACTGAACAAGAAAATTATCTAAAGTCCCAAAATACATATACATGCTACAGTACTAACATATGTAACACTGTTGATGCACACTGCTGTAAATCTTTGGAGTTTGTTTCAAAAATAAATAAATAAATGTGTGGAGCTTAATATATTTTAATTATCAAAGCTAGATGTGTGTTTACATACTTTACACTAAAAACCATTTAATTTTTCTTACTCTCAGAATTCAGCTGGTCCTTGTGAGAGTCTTCAGCATCATCTTTTCCATCACAGAGGTCCATCTTCTCAAACTTGCAATCATGCTGATCCTCCTCTTCATCATCCTCCTCATTATCACTGTACTGATTGAGTGCGTTCACTAGCTCCACAAAGATCTCATCATTTATGAAGCCACACTCTAGACACAAAACAGAACAAGAAATCAATACTGCGGAAATGTGAGTTCTGCTTAAGCAGATAATTGTGAATCAATTCTTAAAAGGATATTTCCCCCAAAAATGAAAACTCTCATTATTTACTCATAGAGGTGGGTGCTATACCGGTATGAACGTGACTACCGGTATTATGTTGTTCCATGATATGGATTTTGCTATACCGTGGATACCGTTATATATTCATGAATTCATATTTTGCATTTATATAGTTTTGTTCAATTTGGTACGTAGTACCAGGGGCCTTGAGTGAGGGTGAGGGGCCTTGAAAATATTTTTCTCTACAAAAGGGGGGCCCGGCAGAAAAAGTTTGGGAACCACTGGCCTACTCAAACACACAATATTTAATTTAATTTAATTCATACAGGCCTACCTCATGTTGCAGGTTTGCACTTTTTGAGAAAAACAATGGCACAATAAAAAAAAAAAAAGACTTTTCAGGTCTTATGTCCAATCCCTCACTTTTTCTAGTTATATTCGGTTAAAATATTTTGCCTGTAATTTTTTTTTCTCATATCGCAATATAATATCGATATTGCCTGGACAGTGTAAAATTTCATGATTTGAATTTTAGCTCATATCGCCCACCCCTATTTACTCATCAACATCATACCAAATCTGAGCACTTTTATTCAGTAGAGCATTAAAAAAAATGTAAATAAAATTTGAACTGTTTCCCACTTTGTTTTATATTTTCATTTTTGGGGGAAATATTTCTTTAAAACACTAACCAGCTTAAATCTTATAAATCAGAAAAAAACAGATCCCTGACCTCTATCTCCATGAACTTTTCCATCGTAATTTTTAATAAGCTCTTCAATGAAAGTGCCGTCTTGATCAAGGATTTCATCACCCATGTAAGGGATGTTATGCAATACGGTCTCATCCTCAACCTAAAACAGAATACAAGATTAAAAGTGTGTTTTTTTAAATACATTGCAAATATAAGAAATTCGGTTTTACCATAAAGTTTTGCTGGAGTGGAGACCATGAGTACATGACAGGCAGAGACGCCACAGCATTCAGTGTTTTGAGAGGAATGACTTGTCTGGAGAACTCAGAGAAGCCACTGTCAACAGTGCACTGCAAAATATTTCAGTCATGTTAGATTAAAAAGTCTATATACCAAGATAATTTTAGGATAATAAGCATTTACTTTAAATGCATTTCATATAACACACTAATAGACATTTTCAAAAAGAAAACAGAAATGAGATGCACATGCACTTTAGGAGTCTGAATTAGAGGATTTGTTCTAACCTCTCTAGTCCCTCGCAAGGAGCTCACAGGTGTCATAATATGAACAGGTTGTATCCGTCTCAGTTTCCATTCCTGGTTCAATATGTCTGTACGCTCCAATATCTTCTGTCTGTTGGAGCTGAACATGCTCTGTACAGTAAGAAAACACATTTCAATGTGAGATCATCCAATAGACAGGCAGGCAACATTGTTGTTCTCATGACTCTTTTTAACATTTGTGGAAACAGTGTTATACATAATAACAGTGCATTTGCATTGTCCATATCTCATGACACCTAAAAGCCTGACCAACACCAAACTCTATACGAGCAGCTTAATGTCTGCTGTATTAGCCCATGGATCACCTTGACCTCGTCTGCCCTCCTGAAACGTTTGAGCTGCCGCAGTCTCATGTACTCAGACTTCACTCTCCGTCTCCAGCAAACAGGACTCTTCTCCGATTTCCTCCCAGTCAATCCCATGGCTTCCCTATACACATACAGTACAGTATATGGCTTTAGATTTCATTATAGACAAATACAGAAACAATATAGAAACATACAACATCAGGACTCAACAATAAGGACTGCCCGATGGCCCGAGGCCAGTTGACGGATTTGATATTGGCGAGTAACCTTTGGCACTTTTCCACAGCATGGTACGGCACGGTACAGCTCAGTACGGTTCACTTTTGGGGCCTGGTACTAAGATGCATTTTCGTTGATCCGATCACAAGTGGACAGCACTAAATACAGGTGTGAACAGAGTAGGGGTCGACCGATTATCTGCCTGGCCGATATTAAGCATTTTTATGATTATCGGTATCGGTCATTTTCAAAACCGTTTCGCTGATAAAATAACTTAATTCTGAAACGCACTATTTGGCTTTGATGCAGCCTGTCAGAACTTACCACTCTGTGACCTAAAGCAATCTCTGCCCACCGCCCATCTGATTTGTTGGGAGTCACGAGTCTGACCAATCAATGCGGAATTCACTCTCAGTCCGAATGTGCTTGCTAACTGGAGCTGCTTCAGTGATCATGCATCAGTTGTCTCTAGGTAAGGTAAGGCAGCAGCAGACATTGCTTTAGTTGCAATAAATCACAATCCACTAACGTTACACTGAAGTTGCAAAACTCCTCAATATTATCTATGATTTCTGCGATGCAGAAAATGTGGAAGGAATCGCGGAATCCAGTCATATAAATGGCATTTACTGTATGACATGGAATGTCAAAATTTGGATGAATTAATCAAAAGTAGGTCAGTACACTTAAATAGAGTATCTGTAAATATTATATGGACTAGTATCTGTAAATATTAAGGCGCAAAAATACTATTTAATTATGAATCCTGCATGTTCTGCGTGTCTCTGTGTATGTAAATGGAACAGACGCGCGGTTTTGTTTTCTACACATACAAAGTGTGCGACGCTCGCGGTGATTTCAGCTTCTGTCGTATCA